GCCACTTTCAAACATTTTCTAGTCGCTGATACAAAGTTTGAATCGCTGCTGCTCGAACCGTTTGTGCATAGTTATAAACCAGCGATACATTCGCTAAGTCTGACACCACCCTAAATGACCATTTGAGCAGCTATAGATTCTCGCGCAAGCGCCGTGGCTCGAAAGCTGAAATCACTTTGGGTCATCCTCCGTCGTCAAGGGACCACCAAGTCGGTGCTCTGATTAATCAATGGCATGTACTAAAAATGCTCAGCCCTTTACACGGTCTTTACGCTCAAACTATGAACCTTCATTTCAAGCCGTCGGCAGATGTGACTCAGGTGAAAAGCCCTCTATTCGAAAAGTGAAAGGAGGCCTTCCGATTACAATTTGGTTTTGTTAAATGATAAAAAAGGCCGATTTGTTCAAGAGAGTTGCCATTACGATGAGCCCTGGTGTCCAAACGAGTTCTCCTGCCCTTTAAGTTCAGCCGATTGGTACTGTGTGAAATGGCACCCAGTGACTAAATTTCCCATTATTCATCAAGTAAGTCGCTTGGGTAAAGTAGTAGTCCAAACAGATACTTTCAGAGCTCATCTGGCGCTGATCAATTTCCTCAAAGGTATGATTGGTCCCGGCTGCTTCTCACTACCGTTGGCATTTCGACAAGCTGGACTATGGGTCAATTTTGAATGAGCTCTCCTTCCTTTCTCTTTCTCATTGCCACAAGAGATATTTGTCTATCTTTTTTCTATTCCAGACCGGATTCGCCCTGGTATTTTTCATTGGTCTACTTACGTGCATTTGTATGGCGAAAATAGTGCGATGCAGTCAATTTTTAAGTTCACGGTATGTACTTTACTGGTTCACAGAAAACGTATCGGATATCGTTTACGTACATAATTCGAGTTAATTTTCCCGAAAATTCGTTGAGAAAGATTAGCGGGAAGTAGTTAATTCCCGATAATGACAGCGAACTGATAGTGACGCTCCTCAAAGTACAGCAATCAGGTGGGCGGAAATATACCTCGGACTACCGTAGCGCTTTGATGAGTTTATACTGCTTGACTTTAAATGGAGATCTCGCCATTCATGTATGGAGTTTCTTCAGCATCATGGTTGAGAAAAATTGCTTACTTCTCAATGGACGAAGTTTTTCAAAATCCATGAATAGGGAACAATTTCAAGCGAAATCTTGAGTTGAAATATGTCTTTCGTAGGTCATGCAGGAAGGGTCTTGCCTTATCATCTGTTAACACTTCATCAATCATTACAACTGTGAGAGGGAAAAGTAGCAAAGAAGCATAATAATGAAG